TATATGTTTTAATAAAATATTTAATTTAATTATTTTATTTAAAAATTTATTAATTAACTAAGATAAATAAAGTTGATCAACTTTGTTTTTATTAACACTAGTGTTGTGTATCCTGCGTTGCGTGATGATCAAAACTCAATTTAAGAAAAAGTGTAAAAGCCTTGACCGAAAGGAAGTGTGATGTGTTTGAAAATTCGGGATCGTATTTATATTTGTAACGTCTCGTTCAATACCGTAAATCACAATTTAGAGAATAGTAACAGCAGATCAAAGCACGTTATTAAGTCAACATTTTCATTCTGTATATAAGTGATAATAGATACTTAAACTATATTTGTTATTATAAGTACTGCAGTAATTACAACTCTTTTCAAGAAAAAAAATGTATCATTTGCTTTCATTTTGCACAAATATTTTACCAATTGGTTGGTTTTGATTTCAACCATGGTTATAGATTTCAAAACTTTATCACGCTTTATATATCCATCATCTTCTTCCAAACTGTCATATTTCTTTCTACCAATGTGAGATGAAGAAAGTCAACCTTATTTCATATTTGGGGAACACTCAGACTTTATGTTGTCAAGTCATCATCTTTGGTATCATTTTTATATTTGTACTATAATTTTTACCATTTGGTTATTTTGATTCCAACCATGGTTATAGATTTCAAACAAGGTAAATAAGACAATCTTATGAGACAAACCTCATGATTTGACACAAAGACATTCAATCCACTTTTCTTATACACTTCACTTTCTTCAAATCTTTCAACTCTTCGTTAATGTATGTATGACAACTAAAACTCAACCACAATTCACCATTTTAGAAAACTAAATTATGATGGTGTCACCTCAACATTCCAAAGTTTTCTTTTTATATATATAAAGATAAAGATTATATGTAATAGTTATTTAAAATCATCATTTAATGTAGATATCTTCTAAAATTTGTATTTGATTATACAAATCCAAGTTGTTTTTAACATTACATATAAAATAATAATAAATCAATTTGAAATCTATTAATTAACATATTCTATTATTTAATTTTTTTAACATTTGATTTGTATTAATTAACATATTATATTTTAGTTAATTGTTTTAAATAATGTTAAATTTTATTAATTTTTAAACATGTCTATTTTGGTCATTTTACTAATTTATGTAACTTGTTTCTAAGGGGCCGTTTATCAAACAATTACCTAGTAAGCATCTAGCGGTAAAATTCAACAATATCATTTACTTATTGGGTAAGATTTTAGTCAACAAAAAACGGCTTTCTATGCAATGAATTACCGTGGTAAAAGTCATTGCCCTCACTTACCGGGTAGGACTCTAGGTCCTTGTCTCGCTCTTACCGGGTAAGATTCATGATTCTTTCCATGTTCATCCGATAAGGTAATGTAACTTGATAAGCGTTTACCCAAGTAAGCATTTGGTAAACGGCCCCTAAATAATATGCATAGTAGATTTTGAGAACACATACCTTTTTATTCCTAATTTGAATTGAGATATTTTTCTTAATTTGATTAATTCTTGTATTAAAATGTTGATTTTTTTGAAGATCAAGATGAACACGCAAAACGATTGCAACATCTTCGTAGTAAGTTTTGGAACACCGTAACATTTAACTCATAACTCGAATCGAGATGATATTTTCAAGTTATTTATTATTATATTTAACATTTATACATTGAAGTTGGGTTCCGATGGAAATGAGAGTTAAAGTGAGAAATCGTAAGAATAAATCTTTACCTTGGATGTACATTAGGTAAAGATGCACCAAATCAATTTCTACATCAAATTTGATTTATGAGTGTGTTTGAGATTAAATGTGATAAATGGTTCAGATCTCTTCTTACGTTTCTCACCTTAACTTTATAAAAAAAAAATGGGACATAATTTACAAACATCAAACATTCAAATACTCTAGAATGAAATATTAAACATAATTATCATAATATATATTTTTTTACCAAAAAGAAGCCAATTCCTGCAATTGAAATGGAACCATCATCACAAACCTAATGTTCTCACACAGCAGCACACCTATTTGACATAAATACCACACACATTTACACAGACTTATTAACCTCCATTTTTTTACACAAACCCTCCAACTCATGCAACCAATCATTTTATATAGGCCCAATTTCTCCACTTTCATGAGCTTCTTTCACTCTCTTATCATACTCATCTTCTTCTCCATCTTCTTCATCTCCTGCTTCTCCCTCCTCTTCTTTATCATCCTCGTCATCATCCTCGTCCTCATCTCCCCATCCATACCCTCCGTGGGATCGTGGAACTGGCGGAGGTGACCTTGCTTCCTCCACGATCTTCATGATATCCTCCACGCTTTGTGGGGAAAACGTCGGGTTTTCCTTCCTGTAATACACCGCTTGTGCTGCTTCTGTTAGTTCCCTTGGCAAATTCTTCAGGAACCATGGATGGCTCTTGATTTCTTTTAGGGTGATTCTCTGGAGAAAAAACAAGCACATAAGTTGATATCTTTTCTATATGATTATGGAAGTACTGTTAGTTTGGTACGCTAATAGGACTGGACTGGTGATGAAAGAATCGTGGAAGGTTTTAGGGTTTTAATTTGACACAGATAGTTTGGTAATTTATAAATCTTGTCTCATCTCCCTTATTTTTGTAGTTCCCATCCCAACAAATTTAATGCTGTGGTCCTTATCTTGATGTGAAAACAAAAAGTATACGTACCCTGGAAGCATTGGCTACAAATATCCGAGAAAGAAGATGTCTACAATCTTGAGATATGTGAACATAGTCTGGGATCTTGTATTGAACACTCATTATTCGCTGAGAAAAAGGACGAGTCAAAGGTCAAAGTCAGTGTTGGCAAGGCAAAAGCATGTTGGGCTAAAGAAAGTAAAGCAACTTACTTGAATCGTTTTCCTGAAGTTTTTTGGATCTTCTTGGTCTTCGAAGGGGTATGCCCCAACCAGCATCACATAAAGTGTCACTCCACAAGACCAAACATCCGCCGTCTAAGAACCACAAATAAAAATTGGCAAACCCCAAACAACATGGTGTTTAAAGTTCTACTCATAATTCAAAAAAAAAGATATAAACCATCAGCAATTATCGTTTGGTGACACCCAAAAAAATCCGTGACATATGAATGTTAATAAGTGCACTTAAAGGTTTGAACTTTTGTTGTTTGCTGCAGAAACTATTAGCACTTAGCAATGACAACTTGAATATTATCCGCTCTATTAGAATATGTAAAATGAGTTCAAGAAAGGTGATCAACAAGATCAGAATATATGACAGTCAAGATGTTGTACCTTGCCATCATATTCTCTACGAGAAAGAACCTCAGGAGCAATGTATGCAGGAGTGCCAACTGTGGATTTTGGTCTCGAGTGTAGCAGAGATGACTGCAAAATGACTGAGACCATTAGCATATGGATTCAGTTTACAAAATAATCTTCATTTTCAGTACATGATGAACACCTTTGAGTAGCCAAAATCACAAATTTTCAGCCGTGGTGCAGGGCTCCCATCTAAAAGAGTGTTCTCGAGCTTCAAATCTCTATGGCATATTTGCTGCACGATATTGATGCATAACTTGATGAATTTAACGACATCAAATCAAACAATAATGATCATATTGTGTGTTTTCTTGAAAAGACTCTTTTACCATGAAATGGCAGTAGTGAACTCCTGATATAAGCTGTTGGAAGAAGTATCTAGCCTGAAATATTGACCAATTATATCAATAAAGAGAAGATTTAAAGCTAAAGGAACCAAATAAAGCAGCCTCCAATTGTAATATTTCTATGACCTCATCTTCACTGAATCTTCCAGCATTGCAAATCCTCTCGAAAAGCTCCCCTCCGGCCGCATACTCCATGACAATAGCAAGGTGAGTGGGGGTGAGAACCACCTACAAAATACCACAAATTTAAGTCTAGATTACAATCCATAGTGTGACAAAAATCATAAGAATCTTGATGAACACAATAGGACCACTTACCTCTCTGAACCGGATTATGTTTGGATGTCGAAGTGATCTGTGATTTATGATTTCTCTAGCAACATTCTCATCAATCTACAACCAAAAAAGGACACATCCCACTTGGAATTTAGCCTATAGCTCAGCTTTCAGACCAACAAAACACAAACAGATGACTAATTTTAGATGAAGAATCTGCATATATGTTTGTTTGTGTGTAGTCAAATGATAAAATAAAATAAAATAAAATAAAAACCATTCACGTAATGCATTGGAAGCCTCTTTCAACAACTCTGAGTTACAAAAACAATATGAAAAATTGCAATAAAATAACAATAAAATGGAGTGAAAACTAAGACAAGAGAGATGAGGAAAATGGTATATACCTTGTGCCCTCTTTCTATATATTTCATAGCAACAAGCTCTTTAGTAACCTTGTTCCTCATCAGCCTCGCAACTCCAAAATTCCCAGATCCTATATCCTTCACAAGCTCGTACTTCTCCATTGTTCTTTTCTTATGATTGTAAAGGCCACAACAGCAAGAGAAAGAATACAAAGAAAGAAGAACACTGATGAGTTTCCTTCCAATACTAATCTTTCATTAACACCCGATGAAATCCCAAACCCTAAGAGAGAGAAAAGAGTAGGCTACAAGTTCCGATTAAATCGGGAATCTGGGTTTAAAGATCGAAATCGAAAACAATTGAGGTTGAATTCGATTGGATTGTTGGAAAACCCTAATCGGGGAGCTGGCAATTAGGGTGTAATTAATAAGGGGTTTTGCTGTAAAGAGAGGAATTTGGTGAAAAAGACGTGAGATTGCGGAGGATTTAAGAAAAGTATAGAGAGAACATGCACCCCAGCAGCGAAAAGGTACTGTGTTTGTTCGTCTGTCTGTGATCGTTGTATGTGTGAGAGAGAAGAGAGTAAAATCAAGATACTTATGGGAGAGAGAGGGAATAGTACATACATACCTATCAATACTATATATATATATATATAAGATGATGAAGAATCATGTGAGAACGGGGGTTAAGATAAGAAACATAAAAAAAAATTAGATTCTTGATCATTTTAATTTTAAATTATTCATAGATGATTGATTTACGGGTTGTTTGGGATTGTTTATAAAAACAATTGATTGGCTTATTCTTGTGTGATACCGGTAATAAGCATTTTTGAGTGTTTGGATAAACAATTTATACCGATGTAAACCGGTAATAAGGAGTTTTTGAATAAGTTAAATCTTCTAACTTATAATAAGTTGATAAGCATTTTTATAGAAAATCATAAGTTATTTTAAATAAGCAATCTTAAACACCCCCTAGTACATCTCATCCTAATATGCATCCAAATGTAAATATTATTTCTTACATTTCTCATCAAAACTCAACCCTTAAATATTATAGAAAAATTAACTAAAATAGTTAATCTCATCAATTAAATTCACTTTTTAACTATTTTTAGAACATCTTTTTAAAAGTAGCTATTACTTATGCTATAAATATAAATCTTTGAATAAAAATTTGGTTTTTTGAAAAAATAAAGGAAAAATATGCAAAAAATTTGAATCCTTTTTGATTTTTTTTTCCAATTTTTTACATAAAAATTCAAATTTCTATGTAAACTTTGACTAAAATTAAAATTCAATTGAAAAAATAGCAGTGAAGTTGGTTAGAAAATTAGGGTTAATTTCCTTATATTATACATATTATATTCGGATAAAAATAAATATTTATAATAATTTTATTATGTATTTATAATATTATAAATTAATAAAAGTTTAAATTTTTACTTTTTAAGTGATTTAGGGTCGTTTAACAAGACGTTTATTGTGTAAGTGCTTAGCGGTAGGAGTTTCTAAATTAACCTTAGCAACTCCAACAGATTTCCAAAAAAATTGAAAATGGAGAATCAAAATTCAAAATCTCTAAAAAGATCACACTAATCTCCGGCAGATTTCTCATTTTGGAGAATCTAATATTGATTATAATAATATTACATTTATTTATTAAAATATTTTTTTGACTAATTTAAAAGTTTCCTTATTTGTGGAAATATATTAAAAAATAACTCTCTCACATCCTAATCACTTTTAGGGTGTTCTCTATATTCGGAGAATAAAACCTTCTATTTCCTTATTGTTTTCCATTTTGGAGATAGTTTTAGAGAATTGTTGGAGCATAAAATTAGTTCAAAATCTCTATTTTCCTCATTTTTCTCTATTTTGGAGAATCTGTTGAAGATGCTCTAAGATTCTTGGCAATCAAAAATGCATCATATGGAACAATCTTACCCGGTAAGTGCTTGTCGATAAGAGTCTCCACCATTGCTTACTGGTTAAGAGTCTCGTTCCTTGCCTTACATCTTAATGTGTAAGATTCTCGGTCATTTTTGGTAAGAGCTTATCTGATAAACGTTTGGTAGATGATCCCTATGGGGGCGTTTGGTTCGTCGGAATCCACCGGAATTTGATGGAATTAGAATGGTCAATTTTGTTGACCAAATTTCATTCCAATGTTTGGTTACCCATAGATGGAATCGAATTCCAGAGATTCCATCATTTGAGAATTTCACATTCCTTCCTAAAATTGATAGAATTGAAATTCATTTCATCCAAAATTGTGTAAATGGCAAAAATACCCCCATGACAACTGGTTTCATTTTCCTGATTGCTTCCAATCGATCGAAGACAGTTACGATTTATGCTTCTGATTTCTACCTACTTTGATTTCTGCATACGATTTTTGTTCCGATTTTAGTTTGATTTCTACTTCTTGTAGAGATCGACGATGGAAAGTCCGATGAAATTGGTGAAATCCTTAAATGAGGGAACAATAAATAAATCAAGAACAAAAAGCAGTAGTAGAGGCGATGAAATAGAAGGAGAAGCAGGTTGGGGGAGGGGAGTTCAATGATGAAAAGTCGAAGTAGAAGGCCGACGATCTGAAACTGAACCTTGAAATCAAAACCCTTTGAGACATCGGGGGAGAAATTGATCCTCTAAAATCGAAGCATATTTCTTTGTTCCTTTTTTTTCTGTCAATTGAAATCAAAGTAGAAACATATGTGGTCACTGATCGTTGTTCCTTTTCTCCCGTCGTTTGAAAACAAAACAGAAGCAGTCACCGGTCATTCTTTTTCTTCCTGTTGAAATCGTAGGATTTTCATCGTGTGGTTCGATCTTCATCCCTATGGAGAAGCAGAAGCAGATCTTCGCCCTTGTGCAAAAGCAGATATTCGTCCCCGTGCAGAAGTAGAAACATATCTTCGCCCTTGTCCTTCTTCCCTGTGGTTCAATCGATCTCCCCTCGTAAGGTTTTTGAATCTGCTTCTACAACCCACAAATCCGAGTTGGAATTTGTTTTTTTATTCAAGTTTTATTTAGGGGTTCCTTTATCATTTGGGGTTTATATGGTCTTGAATCTGCTTCTACAACTCACATAGGTGGCACAAAGAAAGGGTGTTTTTGTCCTTTTTCATTATTCCATTCATGTCACTTATTCTTCATCATTCCTTATGATCAAGCTATCAAGGATACAAAAGCAATATCAGACTCATTCGAATCCTGTCAGTTTGTGCCACCTAATAAACAGATCGATATAGGCAGAACCTACGAAATGTTCTGATAAGATTGATGAAATGCGATGAAAACATCAAAGGTGTCTATGATTAAAAAAAATTAGGTTAGTTTAAACAAGCATCCCAAATATCAAAAGTGGTTCCATGTTGTTCTTAAAGAAAGTCATAACCTTTAAGTACCAGGTGGAATTCGCTCATGAGCATGTACCCATGAGAATCAGATGTGACATCAACTCAAATACTACATTTAGGCCAACAGTAACAAGTTCACATTTTATGCATAAAATGATTTGTTTTCTTTCTAAAACATAATGCTTTGTTGAAGCGTAGTCTAAAACAAATTGGCGGTTGGATTGGTGGGAAGTCCATTACTAACTGGTTTTTTAGGCCATAAAAGTGCTGATATCGGCGCCTATATGTACCCTTTTAACATAGATGGTAAGGTGATTAATTTCCGCAAATATACACTCTCAAAATAAAGATTTTCATGGTCTTCATGGAGATTTTTATGTGTACTACATAAAATTCTATATTGAGGTGATTACTGCGAATAATTTTGTCCAGAACCCATCAATGTATGTAGTGGGGGCTCTATATAAACATTCGCTTAGCAAGAAAAGCTTTTCGATAATTCTTTAAGGATAGTGATTCTCACGTCCTCAAGATGTTTGTTTGTTCCATCTATCCTTCGATTTATACATCCGTTTTTCAACATGCTTTTTGGTGAATATTAACATATGGACAAATAGGAGAACTGGTAGAAGCTTTCAGTGCTCCACAAGCACTCATTCCGTTTGCATACTTGCCACACAAATTGATATACAACACAAACACAAGAAATATCCCAAGGCTATTCTTCGACTTATAACAACATCTTAACACTTACAGCTACATGTGAGATATAATGGCCTCATCATCAGAATACGACACGTAAAGATGTATTTGTGGGAATGGTGAACAGATAACCTTTTGGTATAACGTTTGGGTAGATGAAGGTCCAAATTTGTTCCTAATTGCTTCAAACGGATTGGGAATGTTAGTGAATTTTATCACCTGAAAGAATAACATGACTGATAAATTTCTCAAAAACCTTATCTTAATTTGAGAGTGCGCAATTTTGTTTGGCTAGTTTGTTAGAATCTAGTGCTTACGTAGCCTGTACTCGCTCGCCAAAACATCATGATCAACAACGAAGATGCAACATGCTTATGGTGTAAAACAGACGCGAATGATGTGAATCATGTACTCTGGTATTGTCCTTGAACATACACCTCTAGGGAAGTTTGTTTCGACCCCGGGAAAAGCAGGTTATGATGACTTCCATACTAGAATTTGTAACGGAACTTGAAAGTGGGAACTAAGAATGAGCTAGACATGACCACGACATGAAAGAACGAAAATTTGTTGTCCCATAACTTACTGTATCCTCGCCATCTCACCAATAACATGACGATATGTAATCATTTTTATTTAATTGATGTTTTAATTTTCTCTCAGATAATACGTAATCACATTATTCAGTACTCTTTTCGTCCAAAACAAATGTCCACAACGAAAATGACACACCATTTAGTAATCATTACACTTTTTAATTAACCAAAAAGACAGTTTTACCATTAATAATAGATATGAACTTTCTCGATCTTATAATTATGAGTTTAGAGTCGAATTTAGAAAATAAATATTTAATATTTAAAGTAGATATATTTCTACAACAAACTAAATTAAAAATATAAACATTTATCACGAGACGTAATTACGATATCGAGAGGGAATGGCCCACATGCGTTATAAAATTCTACAAATGGCGATAAATAATGCAAACTCCAATGGCCCACATTCATAGACTAGAGTAACAATAATTTCATCAAAACAAACATTGTTTTAAAAATTAAAATTTATTTATCTATATTATCTATACTATTTTATAAAGCATTTGGCTAAAATTATTAAAAACTCTTAAACCCGTTCATCATTAAACGATTTCATCTCTATCTGATTTCATCTCATATCTAAATTCGTGTAACTAACTGCAGATTAACACAATCAAATACAGGATAAACATCTTATTTTAAATATAAAAAATCTAAAATATAATTAGTATAATCATTAAATTTTAACATAATACTTAATTATTATCTTTAAAAAATTTATAATATTAAAC